AAGCCTTGTTCGAGCTCCCACGGAGCTCTCTTACCATGTTGTGAGCTCCCAGCGAGCTCTACATACGTGGAACATGCTATGTTAGAGCTCCGTTGGAGTTGGAGCTCTAACATACCATGTTAGAGCTCCCACGGAGCTCTAACATACCATTTTAGAGCTCCCAGGGAGCTCTAACATACTGGAACCTGCTATGTTAGAGCTTCGTTGGAGCCCTAACATACCATGTCAGAGCTCCCACGGAGCTCTAACATACCATGTTAGAGCTCCCAGGGAGCTCTATCATACTCGAACATACTATGTTAGAGCTCCGTTGGAGCTCTAACAAGCCATGGTAGACCGCCAACGGAGCTCTAACATACCATGTTAGAGCTCCTAGGGAGCTCTACCACACTGGAACATGCTATGCTAGAGCTCCCACGGAGCTCGGTATTTTAGAGCTCCCAGGGAGCTCTAACATGGGAGCTCTAATATAGCATGCCATAGCTCCCTGGGAGCTCTAACATACTCGAACATGATATGCTAGAGCTACGTTGGAGCTCTAACAAGCCATGCTAGAGCTCCCACGGAGCTCTAACATACCATTCAGAGCTCCACATACTGGAACATGCTATGTTAGAGCTCCGTTGGAGCTCTAACGTGCCATGTTCGAGCTCCCACGGAGCTCTAACATACCACGTTAGAGCTCCCAGGGAGGTCTAACATACTCGAACATGCTATGTTAGAGCTCCGTTGGAGCTCTAACATCCCATGTTAGAGCTCCCACTGAGCTCTAACATGCTATGTTAAAGCTCCGTTGGAGCTCGGTATTTTAGAGCTCACAGGGAGCTCTAACATGGGAGCTCTAATATGGCACGTTAGAGCTCCCAGGGAGCTCTAACATGCTGGAACATGCTATGTTAGAGCTCCGTTGGAGCTCTAGCAAGCCATGCTAGAGCTCCCGCGGAGCTCTAACATACCATGTTAGAGCTCCCACGGAGTTCTAATATACTGGCCATGTTATGTTAGAGCTCCGTTGGAGCTCTAACATGCCATGTTAAAGCTCCCACGGAGCTCTAATATAGCATGTCAGAGCTCCCAGGGAGCTCTAACATACTGGAACATGCTGTGTTAGAGCTCCGCTGGAGCTCTAGCAAGCCATGTTTGAGCTCCCGCGGAGCTCTAACATACCATGTGAGAGCTCCCAGGGAGCTCTAACATACTGAAACATGCTATGTTAGAGCTCCGCTGGAGCTCTAACATACCATGTTAGAGCTCCCACGGAGCTCTGACATGCCATGTTCGAGCTCCCAGGGAGCTCTAACATACTGGAACCTGTTATGTTATAGCTCCGTTGGAGCTCTAACATGCCATGTTAGAGCTCCCACGGAGCTCAAACGTAGCATGTTAGAGCTCCCAGGGAGCTCTAACATACTCGAACATGCTATGTTAGAGCTCCGTTGGAGCTCTAACAAGCCATGTTAGAGCTCCCACGGAGCTCTAACATGCCATGTTAGAGCTCCCAGGGAGCTCTAACATGCTGGAACATGCTATGTTAGAGCTCCGTTGGAGCTCTAACATGCCATGTTAGAGCTCCCACGGAGCTCTAACATACCATGTTAGAGCTCCCAGGGAGCTCTAACATACTCGAACATGCTATGTTAGAGCTCCGTTAGAGCTCTAACAAGCCATGTTAGAGCTCCCACGGAGCTCTAACATACCATGTTAGAGCTCCCATGGAGCTCCCACTGAGCTCTAACATGCTATGTCAAAGCTCCGTTGGAGCTCGGTATTTTAGAGCTCCCAGGGAGCTCTAGGGAGCTCTAACATGCTATATAAGAGCTCCCTGGTAGCTCTAACCTACCCGCCGCCGCCGCCGCCGCCGCCTCAGAGCTCCCACGGAGCTCTAACATGCGATGTTAGAGCTCCCAGGGAGCTCTAACATAATCTAACATACGATGTTAGAGCTCCATTGGGGCTCTATTCGCGGGCCCTGGCTGTCGACCCCCGTCGGTGGGGCCGAGTGGTCGAGGGGCCTCCCGACGGAGGGCCCTCGCAGATGAGTCATCGTGCGGCGCCCCCCGACAGTCCGACGGGGTTCCCCCGTGGCCGGTGGCCCATGGCTTGATGCGCTCTGATGAGCCACGATCCGCCTGCATCTGTAGGGGCCGCCAAAAAAGAAACAGAAAAAAAGAAGAATATTAATAATATTAATAGTATTAATAATGATATACTATAATATCTTTTTGCTATTATCATAACGTATGCGATAATGATATATTCCATATGAAAATATGGCAATAACAAATATTATAGTGCTCTCGTCGAGCCCTCTTGGACTCTCGCCGAGCCTTCTTGGACTTATCTTGGGGCTCTGAGTGGGCTCTCTTGGAGGCCTCTTTGGGCCTGTTTTAGGCCTCTCCGAGGAGCTCGGAAGATCTCGCAGGGTTCTCTCGTGGGTTTTATTTTTTTCAATATGTTGAAGGGGAAAACGCTGTCGAATTTGGAAACTTGGGTTTTCTGCGCACGTTGATAATTCTCGGGGGTTCGTCGTTTCGTTTGACTTCGGGGAGGGGCGGGGGGACGTGAACACAAATATGGCCGAACACCTTCCCCCCCGCAGGGAAGTGAGGGGATCTCCCCGGCAGTTTTAAGGCTGTGGGTTCCGTTTGTGGAAGGGGGCCGTCTGTCATATCGCCACATCCCCCGTATTGTGTAGAGGATGAGGTGCAAGAGGAGGAGGAGGAGAGTGAGGACGGGCCCGGGGGGGGGAGTAATTTAGATGATGAAGGGGAAGAGAGCTGAGAGGGGGGTTGAAAATAGTGAGCTCGGGGGGGTCGCGTGCCTTTAAAATTCGCGTTCTCGAAGGGGAAAACGCTCGCAAAATTTTCGAAAATCGTTTTTGGTAGAGTCTGGAGATTGACGCTGGGGACCACATGTGTTTGGCAGAGTTTAGAGTCTCCGTGCTGCGCTGCACAACAGAGGGTTCTGCCAGGACGTCGCCACTGAAATGCACGCTCGCGCGCGCCACGCCGCAGGCACACCACGGGGGCACCTCCAGCACACCGGGCGCAAAATCGCACCGACGCGCATAAACACGTGGAGCCACTTATGTGATTGGTATGAGACGTCTGCATGTTTTTGGCGTGTTGGCGGTGCTCGTTTCGCAGGTTAGCGCGGGGGAATTTGTTTTCACTCCCTTGAATGAAAACAACGGTTCCCCCCCAAGCCAGCCTGCAAACGAAGCCCCGCCAGCGCACCTCAAAACGTGCACACGTGTAGCATACATTACGCAAGTGCTTTCACGTGTTCATGCGTGTCGCTGCGGTTTTGTGGCCTGTGTGCTGGTGGTGTGCCCGCGGTGTGCGTGCGGTGCGGTTTCCCATGACTGTCCCCGTGCCCGCGATGATCGTTGCCCTACGATTTTTCATGGCAGTTCTCATGAAATCACAGGAGCTGCAATCCAAGAAATCGTTTCCGCTCTGGCCGAGGAGTGGTTTTCGGACGTCCCCGGAGGCCCATAAGCCGAGGTTCGGTTTACGCTTTTCGCTCTCGCCCCCTCGCAGCTTGGGCTTGTCGGGACATCGTTCCAAAGGGTTCAGAGGCCACGAGGAGCCTCAGACACACCCGTCGCCTGGCACGTGTCGTCTGTCCCATGTGCCCAGGGAGGGCCCCGGGCCCAACGCGGGCACACGACGGGCACACCGCGCACATTTACACGATTTGTGTGACCTGGCCTTTTCTGCTGCGAACCGCTGGTCAGAAAGTAGCGCTCTCCTAGTAGAATTGCACCTTCCGCACATTGTGGAAAGCAGCCGTGCCAAAACAGTGGGGGAGGAATCGCTTCGCATTGCAAGCGGACGAGATTCCTCCTGCGCTTTCTCCCTTGCGCACCGCCTTCCCAGCTTCTGAAGGCTCCAAAACGCAGGACTTTGACAGCATTTCGTGCTGCCCCGATTGCGGGCCGAATGCGATAATGCCAGATGCAACGGTTTCTTTCGCGGTGCGCCCGAGCCCGGGCGCTCCAAAGGCAACGAACGCATCGTCCCACCAGGCGCGCGGAGCGCGCTGGGCACACCAGATGACCAACGCACGCAAGGCACACGGGGCACATCAGGCACACCAAACGCATCAGGCACACCAGGCACACGAGGCAGAGCAGGCACACCAAGAACACACTGTTCGGCCAATTGTTCGTGGCCCAAGCTGAGGTGAATGTTCCCTGTGGGTACCCTCCGTAACCATATTGGCTCAAGCTGAGGTGAATGATCCCTCCTGGCCAGCTGCGCGTGGGTATCCTCGGCTTCGGCCCTGAAGGCAGCGACGATAGTTCTGGAGAGAGCGTCGCAGATGGGCAGGGGGGCGAGCGGCCATTGCCCATCCAGCTGGTCGCCCATGGATTGCCGTCGGCCCCTGGGAAGGCCAGGAGAAAGCGGGAGTTCGGCGGGGACCTCTATCGAGGCGATGCGCACATGAAGTTTATCCGAGCGTGCAGGGGGAAGAAGTCGGCCGAAGATGAGCGCGATCAATCGTATCAGGAGAGGGCGGCTTTGGACAATGCGTGGAATGACCAGAGGCTCCGGGAAGGGCTGGAGGTTGGCGTGGCCACTGAACACTTGCACCCGAACCAGTTCGACAGCGGCATGGTCCTGAACAGAGCATGGCTTCAAAACGGGAAATGCTCGGTGCAGAGTGAAGGTATTGATGGCGACCATCGTGAGCTAGCCCAGCTATCAACCGTATCCAGCGCCGCGGCTCTCTGACAGGATGAATGGTTGCAGCGGCAATACGATGCCATGATTTCCAAGAAGGTGTCGCCAGTTTTTTGCCGTTTTTACGATGGGACTGACTTTAAGGTGAGCTTCGGGCGACAGCAAGGTATACTTCTTCCACACGCTCGTTATTTGCATCAGGTCAAAACTGACGACGGTGAGAAGTGGGTCCGGCTGCCTTTGAAAGAGTACCTCGCTCTGCACCCCAACGCCAGGGATCCTACCTATGGAATTTTACCCCTTTTCGCACAGGGGATGACATGCCATTACTGCGTCGACGACAGTGGCGAGATGGACGGCTTCCGCCCATCCTGCCGACCGCAGATCATAGAGGCAAACAGCGGCTCATGTATCTACAACGCCATCCAGCAGGCCACGCGCCCGTTCAACAACGCGGGCATCGCCGATATTTGCAAAGTATGTCCTTGGGCCATCCTCAACGAGCTTCCCGACGACTGCAGCGCGAATAAGAGGAACAAGCTGGATACCCCCGAACACTTACCCGACAACGGTCTGGCAGTTGATGGGAGATGCAGCGCCCACCAAGGGCATCGCATCGTCGAGCACGAGGAGAAGCTGATCATAGGGCACATTCACGCCGTGCACGTCTCGCGCGCCCACATGCACAACAGGAACCGTCTGCAGCAGTCATCGATGGCTTTCTGTCAGAGGCTCGCTACTTAAGAGGGGGCCCGGACGACCGATGGGCCCGTCGGAACAGGCTGATCATGAAGCACACGATGCTACGGCGGCGCGCGCTGGTGGCAGGGCGCCCGGAGCTGGGGCCGACGTCGGACGAGTTGTCCATGGGCGAGGCTAGCGCGGCAGAGAAGTTCCTGAAGTATTGGAACGGTGATTGGACGCAGCACGTCCCGAGCCATTGGTGTCTTGGCTGCTGCAAGGCGGACCCAGCCACTGGTGCATCTGCTGAGGATGACTGCAGGCAGAACCTTTTCGCGGCTGCCGTCGGGGTGGACGTGCTCCAGAGCAGCGGGGCCGAGACTCCCAAGATGGACGATTGGCTGACGTGCGGCGCTGCAGCGGGAAGGATGAGAGGGCCCCTACTCGCCTGCCAGTCTGGTGTCTGGGCCTCGAGGGGTCGAAGGAGGCGGGCGGTCTCGGTCGCGAAGCCTCGAAAGGTTTCGACGGGGGGGATGAGGGCTTGGGGAGGCGGGTGGCGGTGACGGAGGGCTGGGGCACCAGGCTGGCAGACTTGCGGGGGGCCTCTCGCAGGACGGCGCTGGGCATCATGTGCCGCGGCATGCTGGAATGGTGTTTCAATGGCACTTTCAGAACTTGGTCGGATATGCTCGGGACAGGTACAAGATGCAGAAAAAGGCGCGGAGGGCAAGGTGTTTCTTGCGAGACCCGTGGCTCAAGGTCAGGTCAGTGATACTTTGCTGGGTCGCCGTCAGCATCGAGCACTTGATTTCTGTTCTCGTTGCGTTGGACGTGAGTAACAAAGGTTTGTTGGACATCGCATTCGCCGACCGACTCAACCCGTTCGCCGAGGCGCACGCTATGCTCAACAGTCTTCTCCATGCAGGGCGTGCCGGAGCTATTCGGCCTATCTTCGACATGCTCCCAGACCAGCGCTGGGACGTAATCGACGAGATCAGGCGGGTGATATTGGAGTTCGGCAGTCAGATAGAATACCGATTTCGCCATTTACAGCAGTGCCCATATCGGTTGGCGGGCGCGGTGCACAGCGGTCTCACCGACCAGCAGAGGATCGCGTACGTGGAGGGGGCTTTCATGTTGAATGAGTGCTGCCTTGACTCGCACTTCACCCTGAAGGTCGTCCGGCACTTCCGCTCGGCATACGCGTTGTACAGGGACCGTTGCTTCCGGAACTTGCTGAGGTCATGGGTGTGGTCGTTCAAGTTCCGTAATATGTGGTGCGAGCGGTTGCTTGCGCAGGTCAGGCGATCGGTCGGCGGCGAGGTCGTGTGCGCGGAGCGCCTATGTTGCAGCGGGTTCCTGACGCAGTGGACCGCCGAGCATCGCCGCCTCGGTCGAGACCCGCCTGGGGTCCAGACGAAGCGGCAGCTGCTGGAGGACTGCCCAGCACGTGCCCCCATCCCTCTTAGGTACTCGCCCTCGCCCGCCTTCCACCTCTGTCCCCTGCCCTCCTCTTTCTCGCCCTCCTACCCGCCCCCCCAGTGGCCTCGTCCTGCTTCCCTCCACCCTGCGCCTCCAAGTCCCCCCGCCTCTCCCCATGCGGCTACCCCCGCCAGGACCAAGTGCCAGTGCGATGCCTCGCCAAGGAGTCCGCCCCCGGGCAGAGGGGCGCAGCTGTCAACTTCATGATGAAGGAAGAGGCGAAGCGCAAGGAGGAGGGAATCCGTTGATCGAAGGACGAGTACTCCACCTGGCAGCGAGAGAAAATGGATGAGTTTCGCGGGCCGTCGGCAGCCGAGCTCGCCGTGGAAATCGCCGAGGCGAGAGCGGCGCGCAGTCGGCGGTGCCAGGAACTCGATGATGGGCGCGATGGGGGCCCTGGCGGCGATGGCCCCGAAGCTCGCGAGGTTGGTCGAAATAACGAGGTGACCCGAACTCCCGTGGCGGATATGGGCAGCAGACGCGCGCCGATTCCCAAGGCCAAGTTCGACGTGCAAGTCAGGAAGGTGCTTCGCCTAGGCGACGAGGCGAAGAGCCCTGGGTTCACGCGCTACGCCGAGGTCTTCAGGAGCATGCAGGACGACCATTTGTTCGTCGGGGACAAGGGGGACATCCCGAGCGACAAGGTCTACCCGAAGGATCGCCCGTGCACCCTCGTCCACCCTGAGCTGTGCATAACCGCCCATGCCTGGTGCATAGCCGCAATCGAGCGCATGTCGAAACACATCTTCGACTTTGTGTCGGCCTTCAAGCCGGGCAAGTTCATCCACCTCCGTCTACAGGGAGAGACTCGAACAGTCACGACGTGGTTTTGCGCAGGGTATAAGCGCGGGGGGAACCCGCGCTTGCGAATGTTGACGCCATGTCGGTACGACGACGACACGCTGTGCGTGCGCGTGGACTGCGGAGACGATGATAGCCTCGTGCCCGGGTGCTTGAACGAGGTGACCTTCCTAGCCAGGCTGATGGTCACCAACCCAGCAACGGGCCTGCAGTTCGATTCGGCCTACGTTGCGCCTGCTCCGATTGATGTGGCGAAGATACCCGTGTCTCCAGACTGCGTGTTCTTGGTGGCGGACTGGATTGAGGTCGCGAGGGCAGGCGAGGTGAAGGCAGGGCCCGCGAGGAGGGAGAAGTCCAAAGTCACGAATAAAAAGTTGCTCGATGGCGTCAAGGGTTTTGCCCCCGAGAAGGCCAAGAAGGCTGCTGGCCATGCGGCTGGCGGCGCCATGGGCCCCCGGGGCCCTCCAGGGCCACCGCCCGTCGAGGATTCTGAGGAGGGAAGTGACACCAGCGAATGCGGCGCTGCGGAGTCGTCGGAATACGATGACGACTTCGAGGCAGAGGGCGAGGCGGGCCCCGCTGCGGCTGTCCCTGTTCCTGTTTGCCATCGCCACCATGAGGCATTTGGCCCTTGGTCTATCTCGCGCATTTTCCTGCACGGAGTCCACGTTGGCTGGGGTGGCAATTGTAATTGCCACTCTGACGCTACGGGCAGAGCCTGCAAGCGGGCCTTCAGATGTGCTCAGAACACGCCCGCCGAGACGCGCCGGATAGCCAAGCAGTGGTTGCTGCTCGGCCGCGCCATCGCTGCCGATCTCCCCGGCGGTCGCCACCGACACCTCTTCCGCATGCCGCGCCGTGGGATCGAGTTGCGCCCCGAGGCGGAGTTAGATGCCGAGGCGTTGGCGTTGGGGGTTGGGTAGAGACATTTACGCCCCAGAGTTCCGCAAAGAAAACAAATCAGCAACGCTTCGCGCATCCTCGCCAGCCCGTCCGGGAACGATACCCAAACCAGCTACCCTAATCGGACATGCGCGGCATCATTCGGGGAGCTCGGGGAACCTCTCTGGGCCAGACTCTGAGATCTCAGTCGATGGCGGTGAAACGCCCTGTCGCCCAGCTGCCAGATCTAACTATGCACGCGATGTGCGACGGCTCTCTAGGGCTCTGACATCCTGCTGGGTTAGGGGCGGCAGTTGCAGAGGTCAACTGAAGAAGCTCGTGTGCGGGGGGCGGCCCCCCCCTCCTCGTCGTCGTCATCGGCAGCGTCGCCATCATCTTCGCCCATATCGTATTCATCATCAGCGCCCTCATCGTCGTCGTCCGTTTTGAGTCTCTTCAAGTGTCTCGTGGTCTTTTGGGGGCATTGTGGTGGTCTCTCGGGGCGGCTTGGGGGCTCAGCCATGCAAGGGGCTTCCCCTTGGGGGGGCAAACACCAGAGGCCCCGCTTGCTTGCGCCATACAGGTGAGAACCCAGTCTTGAAAATGAGCTGCGCTCACCTTCGAGGACGTAGGATCGAGGCCCAGGGATTGGAAGGGCTGGGGGGAGAGGCAGGCAGAGGGAGGTACGAAGGGGAAGACGTGACGTGCTCGAGGGGGCCTGTGTCCGAGGGGGAGCGCCCGGGCCCTCCCGCGCTCGCGCCGGGCCCCTGCGCTCTCGGAGAGGGCGATGAGTTCCGAAAGCGAGGAGGATATCCACCTCTGGGTGGTGCTGCCCCCCCTTCCAGCTCTTGCTCCGCTGACGCTGGTACAGGATATCCCCCTCCAGGTGGTGCTGCCTCCCCTGCCAGCTCCTCCTCCGCTGAGCTAGTCTGCATGGCCGAGAGCACAGTCTTGGAAAGGAACCGCGGCTCGTGCCCATGCGAGGGCCCCTCCGAGTGCTTGGCGGGGCTCCTCGTCGTGACCCCGGTGGCGCCCCACCTCCAACCTCTGGCCCTCGGCCATTCAAGGCGCATCCGCCCCAGGGGGGCTCCTGCTCTAGAGGCCTTGCTAAGTCTGCGCGGCCCAAGCGAGAGCACGGACTTGGAAAGGAATAGCGGTGTGTTCGTAATGATTCGCCGCCGTGGGTGCCTCGTGAGCCGTGGGGGCCCTCCCGTTGTTGGGGAGACCTGGGCACAGGGCTGTGCTCGCCTCCGTCTCCCAGCTGCCTCCAAGCCCTACCTGCTCGCCCCGGGCATGTCTGCCGAGTGCGCTCGGGCTCAGGCTTTCCAGCAGCATGCGACCTGGCATGTACGGGCGAGACCACTTGCCCCGTTGGTGGTTCAACTCGGACGGCGCTCCCTCTCAAGAGCACCCCGTCATGGCCGACGCCATCGACGACCATGCGAACCTTCGCGATCTCGCCATGGCACGGCTGTCGAAGGGCGCTGTCACGGCGTCTCCGCCGCCACAGGACAGCACCGGCAGCCCCGAGCGCGGGCGCCCGCCAGCTCGGAAGCCCCGCATGCTATTGCACCGAGGAGGCTCAGCGGCTACTGAGGCAGCGGAGGCGGGCCCCGCTGGAGGTCGGGGGCGAGGCAGAGGGCGAGGCAGAGGGCGAGGCAGAGGGCGGAGCGGCGAGACGCAGGAGGCTTTGCGAAAGCGCCCTGCGGCGGCAGCCTCCAGCGCGGACCACGAGCCCGCGGTCATCGGCCACGAGCCGACTGGCCGTAGGCAGGTCGCGAAGCGCGTCGAGCCTGACAGCGGTAAGCCAGAGGCGGCCGCCGCGGAGGCTCCGCCTGACAGAGTAGAAAAGAAGCCAAGGCCTGATGCCGAGGAGAAGGATAAGAAGGATACGAAGGAGAAGAAAGACAATAATCATGAGGATAAGCAGCATAAGTGTGACAAGAAAAAGAAGGGTAAGCAAGATAAAAAGTCTAAGAAGGATACGAAGGAGGATGATGATCATAATGATAAGCAGCAGTGCAATGCGGAGAAGGGCGCCGGCGGCGAGAGGCCAGCGCTGGGGCAGGTTGCCTCTGGCTCGGCAGGAGATGGCCCGCTCGCAGTTGACCCTGCCACAGCCCACGTTGACCGTGCCCCGGCCCCTGCCCCAGCCCCAGCCTCGGCGCGGCCCGATGCGCCCGCAGCGGTG